TTCCTTGATCAAAAGCTTGGCCACCATCGTCCAGACCAGGACGACCTGCGCGTCAACCTCGTTCAAAGCCTGAACAAACGTCACAATCAGCAACCGATACCCGCACGAGGCAAACAAACGCACCAGCGGGGGCAGCTGACTGATCAGCTCAGCACACCGTCGCGCGGCCTTGACCGCGACGACGTTCTCAACATCAAGCGAATTGATGTCGTGCAGCAACATCTCCGTCGCGGTCATTTGAAAATGCTATCGGCTTCGCGTCAGCACAGGCTTCGTGTCAGATGTGCTCCTTCCTGTGCACTGACAAGCAGTATAGTGTGTGATCTGATACTCGGCATCGTCACCCGGTCAGCCTCCGCCGCACGTCTTCGATCCAGTGGCCATAGGCCATCCTCTCCCAGGGACTCGGTGTATTGCTTGAGAGCCCTGGCACAGTCGTCATAATCTTTCGGGTTCCGAAATTTTGGCTGGTTGAGCCACTCCGGCGGCGGCGAAGACTGTTGGGGAATGCTGGAGGCGTATTGCGTCCATTTCAGAGTGTACTCCGAATCAGGCGCGGGCGACAGAAAGGCGAGTTTGCTTGCCCTCTCCAGAATAGTGAGCTTTGGGCGAATCAGTACTTTACCCCTGTTAGTTGATCTTTGGGCTCACCGCTTTGATCCATCGGACACTGCCACATTCCGTCAGCTATCGGTCAGATGCCACCACGTATAACCGCTTACTATGGTGCATCACCCTCAGGATGTGCAATGACCTGCCCACGGTACAGATCGAGTATGGTCACGTCATCCTGAGCAGTGACCACTTGCTAAAGCGCGGATTTATCAGCATTGTCATGGGTCTTCCTTGCCGAGTTGCCTTACCGAGGCGATGAGGTCGAGGGGCAGTCCGAATGGCGTAGAGATATCCGCATCACTGATGACGGAAGGAAAGCCGGTAGCGAGAGCGCCACAACGCTCGACGGCGTAAACACACCAACTGCGATCTGTTAGATCCCGATATCTGCATCTGACCAGCTGCTCACAAAGCATGGACCCGCTCGGCCAGCTCGATCGCGTCTTCAGGCGGGGGCAGTAACGGCACTTTATTGCGTAAGAACGGGTTTATCGTGGGTGGTGGACGAAAGATCAATGAAGGGATTTGATGAAGCCCCGTAGACATGACCAGCCTATAGTCGCAGTCAAAAAGGGCGCAGTATGGTCCGTATTCGGTACTCACCTCATAGCTAGGCCAGCCATGAGCCAGCCCTTTGAAGCAAGTCAGCATCAGTAAAATCAGATGCAAAAATTCAACCCTTAACTCTCACCTCGTGATGTCGACCGTTCGCGTAGGAGTAGCAACAAAGCAGCATTGCAGCACGGATTGAGTCGAGCAGACGATCAGAGCTAGGTGCGGCAATCTCGAGGTACTTGTGAGCTTGTGAGTAGAAATATTCTTCCATGCTCGTAAGTTCTGCCTTGTTGGACATCCGCGTCGCCCAGAGATACTGTCCTAGGGGTTAACAGAAGGCAAAGGACGAAAGTCTCATTACGCACCATTCCGTTCAGCAACGCCAGACTTGGACGCCTGTGATCCTGAAAGGTCATGCGGTACCTGAATCGAGGTATGCTCATCTCGAAGAACAGACGGCAATGCGACAGGAACAGATCAAGGCTACAAAGTAGTACGTCAGCCAGGCGCCTAGTCTACGGCAATCTCACGTACAGCAGATTCCTGTGTTCGTCTCGAAGACCATCAGTCTCGAGAGTATTGTGAAATAAGGCGGTTCCAGAAGTCGTGTCCCCTGGTGTCGGTACGGAGGTCCACTGGCTGCTTTCCTTCCGACTTTTCTTGGTCCACTCGACGGGGTCGTCCCCCTCCGAGTATAAAGCGGGACTGTCTCGATCGCCAGGGCACAAGAGAAATTCGCCAAGTCTCGCAGTCAAGCTTCCGACTTCGGCGGTATGATCTGGGTCGGGAATCATTCGTGTGATCATCTCAGGCCCCGAGGATGATACAACAGGTGGGCTCGCGCTTGCACTAGCACTGGGATTAGTTGTAGAAGCTGACGAATCTCGTGGTCCATGCTGATGGCTTGGCAACGACTCGGTTACAGAGCTGTAACGCGATCTCGACTGATCAAACGAGACAGACCTGGCAGGTGGACCGACCGGATAAACATAATTTGGCGGAGGCATTTCGGTAGACTGCGTCGAAGACCTTGGCGGTATCTGCTGTGCCGCGTCATCGGTTGGCGGTATTGTGGTAGTATGGGTGACCATCTCTGGGGGATTTGATGTATACTGAACCCGAGGTGATAGCGCACTTGAGGAGCCCAGAGGAAGACCGTGCTCCCCATGTGTCTGGGGAAGATACTCCCCAGCAGGTAATGGCGCATACGTCGAGGTGAAAGTCGGCTGTTGCGTTGAAATGGGATTCCAGGGGTTGAAACTTTGCCCAGCAGCTGTATCCATAGGCATCTCGTTGTACGAGCCCGTCAAGGCGGGAACGACATGTGGTGGCGGTGCCGTCGGGTATTGAGGGTACGGCTGCTGCCCTTGCGAACCCTGTTCATACGAGTAGGGCTGGACGTTCAGATTCCGATGAAGTTGTGAATCATCAAATGCGAGCGGCTGCGAGCTGAAGGCAGGCTGTGAGGGTATGTCGGAGTAGGCGTTATATTCGGCTGGACTCGAGTAACAGTGAGCACCTGTCATCCCCTCTGTGAAGAAGGAACATGTCTTACCTGCTCGAGGGTCAGGTATATGCGACTTCAATTTGGAAACGTGGGGCTGGTACACGCATGTCTGCTTATATTTTAAGCAGCTCGCACATTGAGGCCGCTCTCCAGAACAGCGCTGCAGGTCTTCAGTATATCTTCGAATGGACACGCAAATAGATAATGCTTACCAGCTTTCGCCGACGACAGAATCTGCAGGCCCTACATGGAGGTCAGCAGTAAACGGCTTCCTCTTTCACCGTTAGAGACTTACATTCCCCTCCGCAGTGACATTCCAGAAGGAGCGATATACTCTGTGGAGGGTATGCCCGTAGGTCGAGCTGGTTGCTCACGTCAGATTCAGCTTGTTCTGTGTGTTGATCATGCAACAAACTCACGTTGTACAGGCAGCGGAGCGGAATACAAGGTAGGCTTGTCGCCCCCATTCCTGTATATCAAGTCAGCGAGAGTCTCCTATCGATTGTGCCCGACGTACGGATCTCTTGAGGGGTGACCTTGTTCAACTGGATGAGTTCAGTGGGCGAGCGTCAGCTGAAGTTTTCGGCTAAACGATGACAACGCACGTAACGACGAGTCACCGATGGGACCTCCTGGAGCGACACTCTGAGGTGCCGCTTCGAGAGAAGTGACTCGGCCAGTGTCCCGGCTCTCCGCATCTCCTGCCAACGACTCCCTCGTGGCTCTGACATTGTTAGAGAACCGGCGAGGGTCGAACGATTGCCCCTGGGTGGGGGGTCCTTCTCGGGGTGGATGCGCACCGGATGGTGTCGGTGCAGACTGACTCGGAACGATCCATTCTTGTGTCAACACGAAGTCATCGGTAGGATACCAGTTGATCTCGTGGTCGGGGACATGTGATGGGCCTGCCGGATGAAAGGTGTTGCCGCCCTGAGCGTACGACCATTCGTTCGGCTGCTGCATGCTCTGTCTGTGCAGGACAGCAGGGTCTGCACCCGTGGGCTATGGGCTGACGATTGATGATGGGTTGCGAGTATAAGTGATGTAAGAGCTGATTGCAAGTTGGAGAGAGATCTCGCTTCTCTCGGGTCCGGCTCGAAATGCGCCGACGAGGTGAGATCCGTGCGGTGAATATTCCGAGTCGTCGTGGTATGCAGTGTGATGGGATGGATGAGCGATGGGGCATGCAGTGGTGTAGGGAGCTATCTGTGTCTTGACCAGGTCACCTTGTGTCTGGATGATATTCCGAGATGAGAAAGGAAGCATGCAGAAGTGGGCGGGAATAGCAACATCAAACTCCACAGCCCTATTGCCATCCTTTGCAGACCTACACGAGCCGCTGCAACAACCGGTTCAGTACCAGGCCGAGAGGGTCCAACGTACGTCAACTATTTGGTATTACTCGTCCAGATTACCTGAGATCAGGATGTCATGACCCTATGCAGCCGAACCAGATTATCCACGTACGGGCCTTCCACAGCATATACAAGCATGCTATACTCTCCTTTTACACCACCGTCTCGTAATCGTCAGCCCACAGCCAGACGATTACGACTATAGGCACGGGACCTGTGAGCATTTGCGGTAATCGAAATGGACACTTCGCAAACACGACTGCCCAGCGAGCGAGCAGCGCGATCACAGACCCTGTCACACCGCTCGCGACTTCGAGAGTGACAGCCGCATGTCACCGGTGCTTTCCCCCTCTGATCTGCCTCCGCTCCCCAGCGAGATCTGCCCAAGGGTTGTGGCTTTGTCAAGCTCTTCACCCGCCGGAACCTTTCAGGTCAGATTCCAGTGAAAAACGCCAAAACGCCCCACTGGTACACGAGGAGGCCGCCTGACGGGAGATGATCTTTTCGGCACGTTCGGCATGGACAAGCCAGCTTGTGTCCATCGGAGGCCCTGAGGGGATCCTGCTGTGCCATGTACGCTCATCCCAGCCAGCCTGTCTCGCCGAACCGGCCACCATATTAGGTATGCCTGGCTGACGTCCCGTTGAGGCTGCATCCATGTGAGATGCAGGGTGGAGCTCACCTCCACCCTGAGTGAGAGTGATTTACCTCCGACGTTTCATTACCACGGTCTGGATTTCGATTGTGCGCCGGCAAAACCCAGCGAAAGTTGTCCGAAGCTGGCCTAAACGGTCCGACTGCCGGCTGTCTGCTATACCGGGCTGGCAGACATCCAGGAGGAGGCGAAAACAATGCACAGGACCTTGCTGCCACAAAAACAAAGATAAGCGACGACAGGCGCATCGCCGGGTAGATGGACTGCAACTACAAAGCACATATGTCGCGTGCCGGGAAGGGCAAAGTATCCTGCCCGTGTAGCACAGTGGTAGTGCGCCTGACTACGATTTATCGGGTTCTCTCGCGTGATCGATCAGGAGGTCGAGGTTTCGAACACCTCCTCGGGTTAAGTATTTTTGACCTTTTTGGCGACCCCTCTTCCCTTCCCTGATATGTAACTCGAGCTCAGCTTATCGACCGCTATCTATGCATGCGGACTGTTGTTTTCGCAACGTCCTGAGTTTGTTCAGTCGTTAACAGTGATGCACCTAAGACCGGTTGTCACAATTCTGCACCAGTCAGTTTGTTGACGCTCCCTCCACCCAGTCCGCCGGTTCCTGTCTCGTTTCTCAACAACATTGCACGTCCGAGCCAGCTTGATCATCTGTACCAGTTCACCCTTTTGCCTTGATCCATTCAGCAAAACACACACGCAGCATGTCATCGCCCGCTGCTTCCGTGTCAGACGGGCTTGATCTGGAATCACTAGACGCTGATTCGCTCTTTGAGGCGTTGACCCATGTGGAAAAGGTGAGCTGGCGTATGGATGTGCAGGCCAGCGGCTCCTACAGCCAGGGCTGGCTTCTCGCCTGTGGGCTCAGCTAAACAGGGTGTATGAACGTCAAACAGGCCGTCCCTGAGCTCCTCTCATCCATCAAGCCTATACTGGCTCACCTGACGTCGTCGGGGATGGGACGAGTCCCCTCGGAAGAGGAGACGAGTGGTATGTTGGCTAGAGAAGGGGTGGAGAGGTATATGACCTTGCTTGATGTGAGTCTGGTCTTTCGCGGCCTCAGAGGCTGCTCTTAACCTTTCGTAAGAGGGCGGAAGAAAGCCCCGTAGAGCGCATGAAGCACAGCTAACCGCTGCTTGGCTCTTAAGCGAATCCAATTCATCCTGAGACAAACCGTCTACTACCTACGCGAGACCCGTGTATCACCCCAGACCCTACGCCCACCACCCATCAACAACATCCCCACCCCGTTCGCCTCGACTCTGCCGCTGGGGGACCGAGCCGCCCAAAGGGACGACCGGTCAGAAGCTAGCGGGAGCGGGAGCGAACCGCAGCTCGGCCTGTATGCCAGTAGGATCGAGTCAAGACTGCTGGATGAGATGAAGGAAGCCCTGGTGGCTTTGCGTGGTGAGGGTCAACTCCCCCCTCGTATAGCGGCAGAAGGGGAACTGGCTGGAAGACCGAACGGGATGGACGTGGACTCGTAGTCTGACAGAGTTCACAGCCATGCGGGGAGAAGTGTGACCTGAGGATCAAGCGCTGTGATCGCACATCCTGTATGTATCAATTTAGAATCAAAGCACTGCCGCTCAGTGATCGCTTGAGCAACACACAGCAAGGCACAACGAAATACATGTCACGACGAGGGCTGCTTGAATCAAGCAAGTTGGGTGGTCGGATCTATAACAGGGCTAACAGCGAAAAACGAAGGGGGAGCATAACGGTGCCTATGTAACAGACAGGATCTGTATCAACGCGCAGGATACGAGCGGGCCTCGGTCAACTGCTCAAGACCTCTCGCCTCGGAGTCGTCGAGCGAGCTGGAGGTCCTTGGGCTGGATGGTGACTCGCTTGGCGTGGATGGCAGCCAAGTTGGCTGGTAAGAAGGCCACGTCAGCGAGATCAAAGGGTCGTCGTATTCTTGCAGACTCACTGTCCTCGAAGAGCGAGACGAGGTACGCCTCGGAAGCCTCCTGGAGAGCGCCGATAGCGGACGACTGGAATCGGACTGCAAGGGGTATGAGTAAGCGTGTTGATATCGCTGCTAGTCTATGCGAGACCCACGGTCAGTCTTGAAGTCCTGGGCAATCTCCCTGACGAGTCGCTGGAAGGGGAGCTTCCTAATGAGGAGCTCGGTGGACCTGCACGGTGGCGTCAGTGGGAAGCACGGGTTCAGGTGACGGAACTCACTTCTGGTATCGCCTGATCTCTCGGAGAGCGACGGTACCGGGCCTGTACCTGTGGGGCTTCTTGACACCACCAGTGACCTGGGAAGGAGCCTGCTTCCTGGCAGCCTTGGTGGCGACTATAGGGTGATGATAGATGGGTATAGGGTGTATGCGACGCGGCGTGCATTATGGGAAATGCGCAGAAAATATGGCCAGGTGGAAAGGAGTAAAAACGAGCTGTCAGCGCAGGACGTAACAGCACACCTCCACGCCGTCACTCACGCTGCTTCCTGGGGGCCTTACCACCAGTAGACTTTCGAGCGGTTTGCTAGAGACAAGAGGTCAGTCATGGTTTGCGATCGCGGTTGCCAGCGAAAAGGCCAGAGAAAGGCAGGGGGATAGGGAAGGGATGGTAGGTATGGCCTGCACGGTTGATGCATGACCGCTCCGTTGCCAAAGTGCAGGAGGGTTGGCCCAGGCGATCCATGCATGCATGATGCACGTTGTGGACCGAGGGTGTATGGGAACGGCGCGAGACGAAGTGGAAAGATCCGCCATGTAACGACAGGCGCGGACGATGGTGTATGCGTAGTGATGTGCTCCTTCTATCCCTCCCTTGCCTCATACAACCTGGACCATCTACTCACCTTGGTTCGGGCTGTATGCATGCATCCACCGCATGATCAGCATCTGCACCGGTAGCTCCATGCATGTATGGCTGGAGAAGGACCACTCACCCATCGTGAATGCTGTTTAATCGGTCAGTTCAGGTATCTCGTATGCAGGTGGGATGTTGATGTAGGGTGATGAAATGGTGGAGACGTCGTTGAAAGGGTATGTATGGATCTGTCCTGAGAGGGGGGAACTCGTTCCGTTGTTGGGAGTGTGGGGTTTATTCGAGTTGACTGGATTTCAACCATGGGTTGGTGAGCTGTGTCGCCGCGACTCGCACCTCGATTTTCACCCTTGCCACCAGGATTTCCCGCTCACGGTAGGGGGGGTCCTGGGCGTGAGGGGCGCTCTTGGCCGACGCTCGCGCCGAGATGATGCGATCCACGACTGAAGCGACAGTGGGAAACGCCTCGGTCAGCTCGGAATCAAAGGGAAATGGTCAGACACGCGCAAGCTGGAACCGATACCTGATGAGATCGGCATTACGGGGTTTACTAATCGTCACCTGGATTGTACCTTGGCTGATGAGGGGGAATGAGGAATGAGGAGGCTACTCGTCAAGTCGTTTCATCGTCTCATGTCGCCATGGTCTGGCCTTGACTCGACTCTGGACAGCACAGCGACCCTCCGAAGCAATTCTGCGACGGGTCAGACGCAACGCTTCCAGCTATATCGCACCTGGACAAAAGAGCATGCCCGTGCACAAGGGGCATTTTTATGGAAGAGACGCATCGCCATCCGGCCCACGTGGTCTGACTCAACCGTACAACGCCACAGTGGCTATTGACTGGGGCGGAATATCTGCTCACCTGCCCAAGATAATATACGCTGATGCCAGCGAGAAGCAAGTCACCTTCAATGTTCGCATGTTGACGATCTGCCAGTCGGTCCCGCGTAAGCGGGAGGTGCGATTGACAATGCTCCATAAGTACCCGCCACAGTGTAACTTAACTTTGTGGTCGCTTTCGCTTCGAGTTGAACAGCGGTGCTTGGAGTTCTTTATCGCATCGACAAGGAATCTTTTCGTCCGATGTGCGTGTGGAGCGAGCGAGGCATCTGTGATCAGTTTTTTCCATGCAATGATTACCTCCTGTCATCAGAGATTCTGCTGACGGCAGCAGACCGACTGTTGAAGCGCTGCAAGCATTGTCGTACGCGGTGACTGAGTAGGCATGTCTGCGTGCCACTTCCTGAGCAATTGCACAATCCCAGTCCTGACAGGAACGGGCTCCGTGGGCTTCACGCAAGGAGGTCCGAATCAAGAGGCCAATCTGTAGAGCCGATGAGCGTAGCCATGAAAGTCATCAGTTTCTCGTTAGCCGATCATCTGCGGTTGCGCGAACCGACAACGGGAAGGAGGAGGGTCATACACCCGACGCATGGTTGATCGCTCAGGCGCCCCCCCGCGAATGCGACGCGGGTGTCATCTCAGAAACGTCCTTCCCAGCATATCCCCCAGAATCACTCTGCCCACCGGTGTGCCACTGGGGACAGCCGCGTCACCGTGGGAAAGTACCGGCACACAGGACGTGTTGAACATGACGCTGTAGTAGAAAGTCGCTAGTGCTCGTTCCTCCTCATCTATGTCCAGCCTTGTCGTGTAAGCGCAACGCAACATGTCGACAGTACCTAAGCAGATACCGCCCCCGGCGTCCATGCCGCAAGCTGCCTATGGCGCGTCTACGCCGCCTTATCAGCTTAGCCAAGGACGCAATACCAATTCCATCCGGATTGGCACGTGGACCATCGAGACGACCAAGAAGCCTATCTTGAACGGCAAGGAGATTGACGCGTGAGTGACCACGCAGGTCCAGGGGTTGTGTGAAGGCGCAACCTGCTCTTTGATGTGCTGACTGAACGTTGTGACAGAGCGGAGAAGAGCCTGAGTCTGCCATTGCCAGAGATGACGTTTGGCAATAACCACCTCCGCTTGACCTATGACCCCAGCGGAACCGCATCCTCGAGCTCACAAGCCAGCGCGAATGATGGTCAGATGGAAAAACTGGTACTGCAATTTGACACGCTCGAAGCGCTTGCCGGAGTGGCCACAGGTGAAGGATGGGAAGAACGGGTAGGTGGAGGGGTCAAAGTCAGCATGGCGGAGAAATGGGACAAGAAGCGGTGAGTGTGCAAGACTGATGGCGCGCGCTGCCGGCGATATCAGAGGGTGGAGCTGATGGCTAAGTAGAGCTTCACCTACCTCGTTCCTGTCAGACGCGCCTGTCACGAGTAAACCGGTCAAACCACATGACTGGACGTTCTCGACGTGCTATGCTGGATCGGTGGCTGGTCCCTCGGTAAGTCCAGCTGTTTGACATTGGGAGAAGTCGGTTAACCGGATCTACGCCATACGTGCAGAGCTTTGCTCAAACCACCGAACACTCTCTGCCTCTTACTCTCCTGGCGCGACAGGATCCCGTTCTGGACCGCATACTGTTCTATGACGATGTCCCCCTGTACGAGGACGAACTGCACGACAACGGCGAATCTATACTGAACGCCAGGATAGTGCGTATAGTTCTGTATCTCCAGCGAGTGATGCGGTCGATGCTGAC